GAACACTTCCATGGGACAGCACACTATGTTTATCACTTAGCTGCTGTAATGTTTTTAGCATAGATCCAAATTATTTTGGCTCAAACATACAAGTAAATTTCGCACAACAAAGCATTTTTGAGCATTTTAAAAGACATGGAGATCATGGAAATGATGCAGTAACCTGTTTGCATAGTGCTGTGTCATCTATCTTAGACTTCTGAAAAACTGACATGGATCCTCAAGGGACTTACTTGATTAAAAAACATTAATTAATTGAGTTAACATCTGAGCTGCTTTTCAGCTAGTAACTAAAATTAGCTAGGTATTGTAACATCCTTAAAAGTGAGAAGTATACAGAGTAAGTGCAGCCCACTTTCTCACATTTGGGTAGGGCCAAGCCACTTTTTGAAACAGCATTTACTATAACAGCTCCTGAGATATTTTTATAGCCCGGTGGTTGAAGGCTTTTCTTCCTGGCTAGCCTGAAATCAGGAACATTTTATTCTTGGCTTCATGCATTAACATATTAACCATGACAGTGCTGACATTTGTTGCTAAGTAAAATTGATCATAAATGGTCTAGAAAGCTGCCATTACATTTAGAAATTACTTTTAGAGTTTGAAATTAAGTACTGTCAACACAACTCATGTTTCCATTTATACACAAAATGACAGGAATTTTTATGGCTCCACATAGAAAAGAAACTTCACATAGAAAGAAGAAGGGAGATAAAAATAATGATTTTAATTGCTCTCAAACTGTATTAAATAGAGTAACTGACCTATACAGGATCATAAGAGCTCAAGAACTATTCAACAGGACAGGCTAGATGAGAAAATGCCATGTTACATGTGGAAATGAAACACTGATTCATCCCCCTTCCATTTTCCAGTGCAAACCATGAAGTCAGAATTCACCCAGGGTCATTCTTTTCCTCACGTGGGAAATACTCTCAGTTATTTAAACACAGCTTTATTCCCTGAAATCGAAGGAGGGAGCCATTGGTATGCACTACCAGGATGAGGTGGAGATTATGAGGAAAAATGAGATTTCACTGCATGTGACAGAAGCAAATTGAGAGTATAGAAACTGCAAATATCAGATGACTACAAAAGGGAACATCTCTGAACGAGAAGGTAGATTCACTTAAGCTGTTCTTAACAGCAGTGCAGACATTTAGTCTAGAGGTATCAGTGCAAGAGCCAGTCTGGAATTAGTTCAGGAGTGCTCAGACATGTAATATCAGACTGCAGTGAGAACTGGTGGTTTCATACAAATATCACAGGTATTTGTAAAATTTTCAGAGACTTATAGAAATATTTATTTTCAAAGATCATATGGAATGACTGTACCCAGCCACTACTTTCCAACATTCTGACTTAATTGTGTGCTTTTTCTTTTAAATTTTCTCATGCATTTTCTCATAAATGACTTTACAAGATTGGGTGGTTCACAGACAGAAAAAACATCTCAGGACATTTGGTTTAGTACCTACTAATTTTAGATTTTCCCCAGAAATTTACTCTCTGATCCCTGCTTAGTAAACAAAACAGCAGAAGCCTCTGAATTTCTGTTCAAGGCAGGTTGGATATCTCTGCCTTGTAACCCTTCACCTGTATCTGGTTTCCCTTTAGAGAAGGGGACCAGAAAGAGGTGCCCTAGAGCTATCAGCATCTTAGGACAGAGTAATGGGGCAGGCAGCACCTGGAACCTGTGTGGTTCCCTCACAAGGCTCTCAACTGCAGAAGTGACCAGCCACAGGCATCCTAGCTCAACCTGGGCCTGGAATCACTTGAAATTTCTGCAGAAGCAGGAAAATTAAGCTGGGAATTCATCAGTCCTTGTTTGCTCTGGTGTCACAACAGCAATTATGATCTTATTTAACCTATTTTCCTCTTCTTCCTACTCAAGTGTTTCACTGTCATGGGTGTTCCAATAACACAAATCCAGCAATCGCATTCTGTCTGGAATAAAATTGCTTCCCTCTCTTTACAGTGCAGTGAATTGAAATCTTACTGAAGGATTAAAAAATAACCTATTTGCTGTCATGATACCATTCCTCAGGCCAACCTACCTTCTTTGGGCAGTAAATACATTTTTTGTGCTACCTGGTCCAACTTCAGCCCAGTATTAAGCTGGTGCAAAAAGTCTGCATATAAGGAAAAATAATTTGTCAGTGCCAGCTCATAGCCTTCCACAAAAGGGGCCTTTTTTTCCTGTTTGAAAAGTTTATGCTTCTGGAAACTGAGCACACCATTTGTAGACTGCAATCAAGAGCCTCTAAAAGAACTACACAAGTTTGACACTCCTCTAGTAACTGGTGTTTATACTATTCCCTGAGAAGAAGGGCATCTGTGGTGATTGCTGAGAAAGTGCTGCCATCCATACCACAATTCAGGGCTGAATAACCCATGGGTAGCAGGATTCACAGAGTGGACAAACAGGAGATGTACCTCAGATGGCTTCTTCCCACATTACAGAGTGCACAGAGATGTCCTGGAGACTACAGCATCACTGAGTCTTAGTGGAGAGAGGATAGACCTCAGAGAATGTATGACTAACAGTGAAATAAAAATAAAAGCTGAGGCTGTTTGGGAAGTGTGTGCATACAGAAGCCACCAAGTTTGAAACATGGGGGGAAAAAAACCCATAATCATAGCCACAGATTTGATCATCACCCTGATCTCAAAAAAATTGTCTGTGTCACAAAGACAACATAACAGCTGAACATAATGATGAAACACTTACCCTGGTGTCCTTTTCCAGATGAAGCTTGTGTTGAAGGCTGCGTCTTCTCCTGGCTTTAGCAAGACCATTGTGATAAAAAAAGTATCCAGATTCTAAAAAAGGGAGCTGAGGAAGAGAGAGGGAAAAAAAAAAAAATCATGAAGCTATTGGCTGTAAATAAGGTTAAAAAAATAAACTTTTACTTGTGAAGTGATTCAGGAATCTACAAGATTTGTGAGGAGTTATACCAAAGAGCCCAAATCACTCTTGAGAATGCCACTCATAAGTTATTTTTGAAAAGTTCACCCAGGAGCATTAAAGTTGTTTGCTACAGGCTTACAGTGCATAACTTCACTTGTATACACTTGGTACTCTTTCCACCTTACATTTAAGGTCAACAGTGCCACTATTTCTGATGGGCACCCCAAATCACAAGAGGAAGCATTCCCTATTTCCTGAAAAAGACAGAATAAAAGAACAAAATTAATTACAAAATATTTGAAACTCCAGAGAGCATCCCTCACTAAGAGGGCCTTACATAAATGCTTTGCTAAGCTTCTGTAACACACCCAAACTGACACCATAAGATGGAAGGCAGGAAGCAGAGAGATTTCCACTTTCAGAAACATAAGATACTTGGAATTTCTTCTGTGCACCCCAAAATGGAACATACAAAGCATATTAAGAAAACATGCAGCTCAGTGTTCAGGTGGGAACAGTGTTCTGCACCTTTAATGTTCAAGACATTTAAGGAGCAAGCAAACACCTCTGGAAGGCTTCCCATTATTAAATGCATTTTTCTCCTCAGGACTGGCAGAGAGCAACTGGAAGGCTACTAGACAATTATCTTTTAAAAGGCTAAAAGACATAATGTTAGGAGAAGAGCATCCCACTTCCAGCACCTGATTGAAGCTCCACCTCAAGCTCAAATGATCCCTTCTTTCCCAGTTTGAACTTAATAGTGACATTCCAGTTGAACATTTAAATCTAAGCAAGTAACTGCACATTTTTAAACTAAGCTTGTTCTTGCAAAAGTTGAAAAAAAATGGTTGGGAACATTAATGCTGTGAATATTTCAACTTCAAAGGTTCAACTACACTGCATGTAAAACACCTTTTTAAAAGAGATATTCTAGAACAGCTATGACAGCCTGTTCCTCTACTTTTTATTATGTATACTTCATGACAACATAAACATCTTAGCAGGAGTTCAAAGTTCTTTACTGAAATACCAAGGCTGATGTCTAGATAGAAACAATGTTAAGAAAACCTGAGCTGAATACAGGTAGAAGCATCATGCTGCCATAAAACAGATTCTGTTCCTGTATACAGGTATATGCAGTGCACAAATATAAATTATGTTCCATGAAATTATGTCCAATTTCAGTCAATCTATCACTTCCACTAACATATTTTACTATACATGGGAAGCAGTGTGGAAATAGAACATAGCAAATTCTCAAAGTTTAAAATCTGGTCATTCCAAAAATGAGTATTCAAGTTTGGGTTTTCTTTTTCTTTAAAGTAACTTTTAATGTTAATTGAAACATTTACTATCACTGAAATGAAAGCATTTAATTTTCACGTTAAAGTTCCATTCTGTAGGATACATAAATGTGAAGTAACTTAAAAAAAAATAAATCAAAATTATTCTGTTCTGATAAAAAGACCTCTTTTAAAGTATATATAAAAGGTTAAAGAGATTTCATCAAAATCATTATGGTTCCCTGGAGCTGATCTGCATGGCTGACTGGAGAGCTTTTCTGGGCGAATAATCAGGATATTTAACTTCAGTTTCATACACCTGTGAAAAATACAACAGCTGAAGTAGAAGGAGAAAGAAGGCTATGAAAGCTCACAGTAGAGGCCACAAAAGTCTCCTTCACTTTGTATATATCCTGAGTCAGAGCTCTGAAAGCTCAAATTCTGCCTGGGTTTAGGTAATTGTTTTAAAAAGCAGATGCACATTTAAACCTGTATCTGACATCTTTATCAACAGGGTGATCAGGTATTTACATAATCCAGAGTTTAGTAATAGATCTGGCTCTCCAGGAAAAGGGTCTTCCCCCACATGGCATACATTATTCTATGCCTCAAAAACATGCAGGGGGAAAAAAAATCTAAATAGGCAGATTAGTTACAGCTTGAAATCCATCCTGGTGTGCTATCCATTACCATCCTTTGCTGTCTGTGGCCCAATTAAACTTCAAATTCTCTCTGTGAAATCAGGCTTGCTTTTCTTCCTTTTATTTCAGTATCAACCATTGAAATCAAATCCAGTCAAATATTGATCTTGATGTTCTTCCACTAAGGATTAGTCTAAGCAATTTTGAAGATGTCTGGAAATATATAACAGATATTTGCTGTTTATTTTACATATAAGGTTAGTTTCTAGTACCTCTTAGCATGAAACAGCATTGTATACAGTAACCTCTTAAAGCTGGTGTATTCAAGTTTGACCATAAGAAATTATGGTTAATACAACAATGACCAGATTTATGGACAAGGTCACAAATAAGATTGACCAAGATTATTCCACTCTTTCCACAGTATTATCCCAATAATCTTCGAGGAACTCGGATATTTTACGGTTCAGATGTTTTTTTCATGCAGGATCAGTTAAACCTAGAGGGGGACACCCAGGAAGGCAGCTCAATGAAGCAATACCTGAAAGATTTTGTGATCCAGCACTGTGGGTTGTGAACAATTATTAGCAGAAACCAAGCAATTTTCAGGAAGAACCCAAACTACACAGTAAATCCTCAAAATCAATGAACATACGTGTGGGAGAAATCAGACACCAGGGAAAGGGCCTAAAATGTCAAGCTTTGATGAGGATTTTGCACTGAGATCTGTGAATACCATAAAAAAAAAGACTGAAACTTCCAATTCTGAGGGACTCCTGCTACCAGGCCAGTAACTTCTTGGCTGCAACCAAATGGAGAGCACAGGTAGCTCACAGCAGGATTTGCATTCCCACTATCAGCCACTCCAGGAAGGCTCTTTTGATTTGGAGCTACAGCAAAGGAGCAAATAGTGAAATGAACAGTGCAAATAATGAAGTGAAATGAAAACAGATCTGTTAAGGACTCCAAAATGTTATCAGCAGTATCTGCTCTGTAACATTGAAGTGGTAAGGCTGGAATTTTTATGGACTAAAATTCCTATTCTGGCAGCAGCAGGCTCAGCATGTACCATGGAACAATAATGCACTCAGCCAGGTGGCTCAGGTTCTTTTTGCAAGACAAAAGCAAAGCTTCCTGCCCTCAAAAAAAATTAGCAATTAAGATAACTAATTACTGGAAAGCACTTTAACATTCAAGTGAGGGGGATTATTTAGGATAAGAAATGGGCCTACTTACTGCCTTGATGTATAAATATTGTCCGTTACAAGGCACGACTTTCATAATCTCAGGAATTTTAAGCACTTCATTACTTGCAATATTTGTATAAAAGTACTGGTGAAAAATACATACAAGCAAAGCCAGAATCACAAATACAAAACAGCAAGTAGAGAAAAACATTTTATATCCACCTGTCTCCTCCCTTTCTTCATATTTGCAGCCTTCTTGTGGTTTTTAGTAACACTTTCTGAAGCAAAGATGAAATGTGTTTAACTCTTTTTTTGAAGGATGTGGACCAGAAAATCACTTTTAAAAATTCAGTGATCAACTAAATTCAGGAAAGACTTTCAATGGCAGAGGCTTAACTGAAAACAAAATAGACTTGATGATCTTAGGGTCTTTTCCAACCTTAACAATCCATGATTCTATGAAAACAGCTAGCATGTACCATTTGGTATAGAAAGAAGCAGGAAAAGTTTCATATTACCCAGAGTTTTAGCACCAATTCAACTGAGATATCTTAGCTGCTTCTCAGACTACTGCTGAACCACCGAAGTTGAAGTGTAATTATTACTGAAATAAAAATAAGTAAGCTAAATTCGTGGCTCTCCAACTTTCTGCATTCTCCTCCTTACAGTCTCTCCCCAGAAAGGAAAGGGAGTGACTCTGAGCTGCCCTAGATGCCACTGCTGGGAAGAAGGGATGTAAACACTACAATTCTCCCCTGCCAGGCCCAGGCATTCCCCAACATTGAAAGGGAGCTAAAGACAGTCCACTGCTGAGCCCTCAACTGCTCTGAGAAAGAAAAATCAGGTAATAAAGTAGTCTGTTCCTCAGAGACACCTGATCTAGGATGGGGCAGCACACACAGTTCCCTCAGAGCTGATGGCTCCCATCCTACCTTGTCTACTTGACAGAGAAAATCAAGCTGCCCTTCTTTCTTGCCTTGAACAATATGCACAGTGACACCAGTTGCAGTTCTGCCCGTCACAAAACAAAGGAAATCAATATCAACTGCAAAGCAGTGCAGAAGTTTAAAGAAAAGCCACAGAAAGACTAAAATCAGACACTGTTCCTCATTCTAAAACTGCAGCAACTGAGACCACCTTGGGCAGAACTAACACTGAAAACAAGCATCAGCATCTCCTGACCAGAAAAGCCCATCTAGCAAAGGTATTATGAAGCAGCAATAAATTCTTCAGAAAATAACAATATCAAATAAAGAAGCCAGTGGCATCAATACTTTATCTGGCTCTCAGGGAGAGGTCCAGCATTCACAGCCTGTCACTGGTTTTAAGAGGTAATATACAATGCAAAAATAAAGAACATTGGTTCCAAGGCTTATCTTTAATATAAATTTTACTGGCTCCTTATCTTTAACATCGTGTTTTACTGGCTCAGTACAGAGCTCTACATATATTATGGTGCCCACAAAAAGCTTAAGAACAACCTGGATTGCCCTTTCTTGTTTTAATGGGAACTATTTCTGCCCAGCCTTCCCATATTGCCTTTCACACTGTTTCACATAATGCAGAATCCCTACAGCACATGGCTGGCTTTTGTGCATCATTTCCAATTATTTCTCACCAGTACTGTAATATTCTAAAACTGGTTTAATTTAATCTTTTGTTAAGGTTCCTCTCCCAAGTTACTAATTGGGACAACAGTCTGCAACAACTTTATTTTGAGCAAAATCATTTATAAATACAAGCAAAGGGCAATTTATAGCAAGTTACTGCCTTTCCTGGTCACTAAAATCAGCATAAATGGATCTGTCAGTGAATGGGATTCACAGAAATCCCTCATTCAGCCAGGCTGACAAAGACCCTCCCCAGAGCTCCTTGCCTGCCTTAGTATGGATATGTGGCCATGGATGTGGGAGTTCAAACAAACACTGGGGCTAAAGGAAAAGAAATACAGCCATCCCCCGAATAATAATTTAATTTTTTTCTTTTTTAAGAAGTATGACACAAAACATCTCTCCCCACAGAGCCTAAGCACTGCTCAAGCATGACTCCTGACTTTCACAAGGAACCATAAATTGGCACAGGTGAGCTCTTTCATCCCATTACTGCTCAGTAATTACACCATCAGAAAATATGACCCAAATCCAGTACAAATAAATGTATTTGGAGCCTTCACAGGCCCTACAGGCCTCACACCTTCAGTTACCATTGTAAGTGAAGCACAAAAGTACCTCACAGCAGAAATTAGAAACCTTTTCATCCCAGTTTCACCAAATGCACTGAGGATGCTTATAAATATTCAATATGAATTTTTAAGCTCTTTAATTTTACCTCACCCCAATTAGCATTAGAAATCATTTTACCTTTAAATACACAGATGGGAGCCAAGTCTGAAATCAAAAGCACTCACTCACTTTAGGGACAAGGGCCATGTAAGAGAGGAGCCAGCTAGAAACACAGGCAGCCTCGGGCACGGAAATGACACAGAACAAAGCACAAACACGAAAGGATTAATTCAAACATTGGTAGAGAAATGTGAAATAGCACAGAGGACTAAAGCTGCACCAGAGATCACCCAACATGAAATCCAGTCTACTGTGTCCCCATGGCCCCTGGCAAGGATTTGACATTTCCTCCTTTATGTGATATAATTACTGTGAAGGCTCAAAATAAGAATCTCAGGTGGAGCCAGGGCTCTGCACAAGCTCCAAACAGCCCCAAACGCTGGCACGGTCAGGTCCAGGTCTAAGTGCTATGATTCAGTCTTCCTGGCTCAGTTCTCACTGTACCTGTGTCTTTGCCACCTGCCTCCACTAAAGTCTAATCTGCTTCTCTTGGCTAATCTGGCAGGTGGAGGTGTTCTAGTCATAGCTTCAACACTTCCAAAAGGTACATTTCATATTAAAACATCATCAGATCATCCTTGTGAAATCAATTCATCAGCACAAAGTGAAACATTTTCTTACAAATTAATTCATAAATGCCTGACTTAGACATTTTCATGTGTTGTCTGTTTCACATAAACATCCAACCAGCTCTTAAAGGAATCAGCTACAGGTGGTATAAGAAGGGACCAAGACTAAGTAGAGAGATATAAAAGTCAATTGTAATATTGTAAATAAATGGTGTATTTGTATTTATTATTTAACAAACAATACTTTAAACAAATATCAGAAATATTAACATGATAACAAGGCCACCTGTTACTGTTATTTAGAATAGTGGTTATCCTGTAAGAACACAGCAACCCTGCTTAAAAAGTTCTATTACATCTTCTCAAGCCAGAGGAAGTAGTTTCCAATGGCTTCTGAGAGGTTTCCTCACCCTCACAGCAAAATATATTTTCCTCTAGAAACAGTGTAAAGTCAAAAGCAACGTCCAAAGACTTTGTAGAATATATCCCTCTGGATTTTATTTTATCCAAAAGGATAAAACAAAGCCTTCTGCCTAGTCCCTCTTGCATGCTGCAAGAACAAGGTTAAACAGTCTCCTCAACAGCTGGACATGAGGTGTTTAATAAAAACCTGGAAGTAAATGAAAGAAACTGAACCAGCTGTGGATTGCTATCACACTTACATGTCCAGTATTTCCACGTGGAATTCATCTGAATGCCCTGTACAAGTCATGGCAAAAGAAAAAGAGGCTCTTTTAAGGCATGATTCACCTCACTTATCTGAGGTGGCCATGTTAAAATACAAGCTGAGCTGAGCCCCAGGAGCTCTTTCACTCTGCAGTCTGTAAGAGAAGCACTGCTGCTCAGGTAGATCAATTCTGATACTAAATGGCTAGTGTCAATTTCCCATCACTTTTGTTGTTACATTACCCCACCCAGTGCTTCCAAGCACCTACAAAACACTGCCCCATTGGTTTGGTTACAAGTTTGTGGTATTTGGAATTTGATCTGCAATTGAATGAATCACACAGGTGTAAGGTTTTACTGTACCTGTATCACTGCTAAGCCTGTCACTGAAGAGCACCTGAAATGCAAGCACATAAAGCCAGACAAGTCATCAGTGACATTACTCTGGATTTACTGACAGTTTTATCAGTGAATTGGAGAAGCCATTTGACGCTTTAAAAATGGTTATTCTAGTTTATGGGAATGGATCTGTGCAGTTTAGAGAGTTTTATCCATTACTCCCCAGTAACTGTAAACACCATTATCAATTCTACCAGATGCCCTGTTGAAAGCAGCATGCTTCCCAGATTTCAAGGAGAATGCTGCTGCTTATACAACCAGCCCTCAAATTGGACTGAGTTAATCCAGACTGTCATTACCTGGAGTAGGTGATTATTATTGTTTGGCTGAGAGGCTGAAGTGAAGGCTGAGCAATCATCATTATGCCCTCTTACATAAATATTGTGTGTGTTTGTGTGTGTGTGTGCAAGAAGAGCACCTCAGTCAAGCCCTGGGCACCAGAAGACATTCTGGAGTTCAGCACCAAAAAAAATCACTGGGAGAATCTACCAATTGTGTTGTCATTTTTAGAAGCAACAATCAACCACTGGGAAAAGAAGACAACCTCTCTAATCATTCAGTTACACAACTCCATAACAACCACACAAACAACAGATAAACATCCACATCATTTAGAATAATTAAGTAAATATGATTTCACCAGAAGGGGAATCAATTACATTTTCTTAAAGCAGGTATGTGTAACACAAAATTATTTTTTACACAAATTGGGAGAATTTTACCATCCCATTAAAACAAAACAAATACCACCACCCCCTAAAAATAAAACAAGACAATAACAAAGGACCAAAAATAAAGAGAATAAACATATCCTCCCCCTCAAAACAAACAAAAATGAGAAAAGAAGACAAGTAGAAATCAGACTCCAGACATTCTTTAGAGACAGTTGGTCAGTACTTGACCCGGTTAATTAACCATAACTCATTTAGCCTGAGGCAGTCAGTGCTGTAAGAATAAAGGAGGGGAAAAGGATGGTAATCCAGAATTGGCTTTGCCAGTTCTACATTCTGTTAACAGAGGTGAATAAAATTTTGGCTCTAAGTGCCTGTCTCCTGCGTGGAGCAGTGGAGCTCCTCAGGGTATCCTGTCACTTTTTTCATGTTCTGCTGTGTTTTCAAAGCATCTCTCAAGATGTCAATATTCTGTAAAAGTTTTCACACCTCAAACAATCTTCTTTCCAAAATCATTCAACCCATGACCATTTCCTTTGCTATTTCCCTCTGCTCTTGCTTCACATGGTAGCAACTCTGCTCTAGGACAGAACCAGAACTAAATCTCCAAAGACATGAGTTTCAGTATCTTCTTATATTAGGAGAATCTTAAGCAATTAGAGCTGTAATATTCTTGTTTCAGTTGCCTCCCATGTAAAATGGCATACTCTTAGTTTAGTTATTTTATTTATTGATAGGATCAATTTAATTAATGTTTGCATAGCACTACAGACTGTGATATGAAACTCTTAACTGTAAAATGCCAAGTGCCACTGCAAACATATATTAATGGGAATATCTACACATGTAATATATCTGTGTGCAATCAGGCACCCCTTTAGCAACAAATATTTGTTAAATGTTGTAATATATTTAAGCAATATAAGATGGAATTCTCTTCTATCAGTACATCTTCCTTAGAGAAAACTCTTAAAAAATATTTTGCTTCAGTTAGAGTCTGCAAATTTAAATGGCCACGGTATACTTCTGAGATAGATCAATATTGCTGACAGCTATTAGCACTGCTCACAAAAGGCCACTTTGCCTCACTCCTGATTTACAGCCCATCTCTCCTTTTAAGCGTGTAACCAAACAGGCTGACTGGCACACAGGAGCCTGCTGCCACTTCAGCTCCAGAAACACAGAAATAAAAGCCATGAGCTAAAGTTTGCTATTTAAAAAACAACATTAAGATGCAGTGTGCCCCAGGCACAAATTACCCATAGTTAAACCTCCCAGATGAAGAAGGGGCAAGACACTGCTAAACACTGAGATCCTGATTTTCAGTAGGGCACTTCAGGATTATTTTTAAGTCTATGGTCACATAAAGTGGCTACATAAATATGTGTGCACGTGCTCAGCTCATGCAGCATCTAAAAACACAGTGAGGAGCTCAAGCTTGAATGAAGCAGAGCTATAAGAGCAAGTCAGAGCAAAATGAGTTGGTTACTGACAAGAGCTACTCAAGAAGGCACAAAAGTTACTCTAATGCAAGATGCTAGCTCTTACCGGCACTTTAAGAAGATCTGACCTTTCTTGCAATTCAAAACCTTTACTCTTTCCTTTTTACTCCGTGTCTGTTTAATGCTAGGCTGCCAAGCAAAAGCTGATAGACAGAAAGTGCTTCACAGAGAGGTTTCTGTTATTACACCACGCTGAAAAAGTCTTCCAGCTGCCAGAGAAGCAGTCAGTTCCTTGAGAAAAACATGTGCTTTATTAGAGAAGCCGATGGGTAACAATTAGAAACAAAACTGTGACATTAAATGACAGGAGGGTCACACTGTTTCTTCTTTTTTTTTTCTTTTTTAACATAAGGTAGTAGGCTTGTGAAAAGCAGGAGAAGGAAGCTTAAAGAAAAACATTTTCAGCAGAGCCAAGGAAAAGAGAACACTTTGGAACACTGTCATTCTCCTTATTTTTGTAAAGTTTCTTGATTCTGCTCAGAGAAGTCACAAATGTTGATCCTCATTAGTACAAGATCAGGTCAGAGGCAAATCCTTTACTCACACCACCACAACCTGCAGAGAGCTCCTGTTGGCTCTTGACACAACAGCATAATGGTCACTTCATAACAAGGAGCAACGGCTCTGAGTGGGGTCAAGAGCTCTGTGGTAGACAAAAGAAAAAGGATGACTTAAACCTAGCAATAATGATGAGAAAGGAAGGCAAACAGCAACACTACCTCTTACCCTTCCTCCCAGGACCTCCCTCACTGACCTGTCAGGCATCTGTGAAATAAGTCTTTTACTGCCAATTAATAAATGATGGAAGTTTATTGCTGGCAGAAATTGTTTTCAGTCCAGTATGTGCTTGTATGTTATCTTGCTCCTGTGGCATTAATCAAGCAAGGAAAATGTAGAGTTTTAATTAATCACTCAGCGTTTCAGCCTTTAGAGCCTGCAAATCTGGTTTCTCTAGCAAGGTACAATATATTTAACATGAATAATACATGTTCAGTTAGAAGGGGGAAAAAAGGGATTTTACAGAATCATACAGAGTGTTTTAATCTCTAACAAAAGAAAGAGAAAAAAAATCCACTTACTTTTCTGACATGGCTCTATTCTGAACTATATCTTCATTGTAGGAGAAATTGAATGGTTTTACCGTTAAGAGATGAAAAGTACCTTTGCCTGCGAAATTTGGGGATTTTAATGGCAATATAAAAATCAAAAGATGGAAATGCTGTAAAGATGATGATGTAATCCAGGACCATCATTCCATCAATGTTAGCAGCCAATTCTTCCAATCTTCAAATGTGTTCCAGTTCTGGTTTTTGCTACTTCACCCAAATTCTGAACTAACAGTTCCACTTTACAACTGGCTCAAAATAACTTCTAAATAGCTAAATTCAGTTGAAACACAGTTCTAAAATTAATCAATACAGGGAAGCATGAAGTCCCCTTGGGACTGATGGGAATCCAACAGTCTTGGTTATAGCTAATTCACCATATCTTGGCTGCAGCTAAAAGCCTTAAAAAGAAGCTTTTGCTGCACTTGGTGTTGCACAGTGGGTGACAGAGACAGTACTCACCCACAGAGTAGATTTCAGAATCACATTCCTCCGTTTCACTGGCTTTTCATAAAGAATGAATAGGTAGAAAGAAGGATCCTCTGTCATCAGGAAAGGAGAGGCTGTATTACACCTCTTTTACTACCCATATAAGGAGAATATTTACCTCTTTGGTTCTAGTTTGGTATCCAACAATCATCTGAAACAGCAAATTTCTCTACTTAATAATAGTTAAATATATATTTGCTGGGTTTCAGGTTTTCACAGATTTGTTCTTTGGAGAAAGCCGCTCTGACATATTACCATTTAATTCATCTGGTAAGCAAATAATCTAGTTCAGTCATGAGTATCTGGGACACATTTGCCAACAGGTTTGATGTAAACACTGAGGTCACTATTTCCATTTGCATTCTGTGGACAAAGTAGTTAATGTAATATTTCCACAGAAGTTTTGTTTGAGAAGGTAAGTAATACAGGACAACATCCCAGTCCACTCCTTGTCAAAGAGCTATCACTATCCAATTTATTTATTTATAATCACAGTGTATAAACGGAGAGAGTGGCCAAGCTCATTATTTCTTTTTTAAGTCCTTGCTGAACACAGCCAGTGCAGCTGAGTTACACTGCTGGGCTACTGTCATAAATCTGTGACCAAACTGTATTTCACACCGCATGATAAACGGTGTGTCACAGCCACACAGAACTTCACACAGTACACAGAGAATTCAGCTCTCTCTGGGACGGTGCTTTCTGTCACAAAACAGGGCCTGAGCCTGCTGAGCTGAAATTAAATCTTCATTTCAGTAGCACAGGGTTTGCTTTTCCAATGAACTTATGAGAGTTAAATGCAGAGCTCGCCTTGATTTACAACAGCAACACACTAGACTTTGACAAATACTTGAGCAGTTCAGCTTCCTCCCGCCAGAGGCATGGATGGATGGAAGTGTTGGGCTGCTCACTGCAGTATTTATAGCCACCATGCAGCAGCATCCTGTAGAGACCTGACCCATTTAATTATCAGAAAAAGTTGAAAGAAAAAATAACAAAACAAAACAAAAACAGGGGTTCTGATGACTGCAATAACATTGCAGGACAGAGCTAAATTTTACATCTATTTGCAGCACTGAATTTGCTCACAAAGTAGCCACCCACTCTGTGGACTGGAACTGCACAAAAGGGTTTCCAAGCTATAATATTTTAATAAGAACTGGCAGACTTTATCATTCATTTTAACAATTTGGCATGATTTCCAGCTCACAGAATTTTCCACGAACATGGACATTTCTCAGAATTTACTAATGGAAACTACCCACCAGATAAATTCTACCTACATTTTGGCAACTACTTTATAACTGCTTTATTACAAGCATTTGAAACTTGAGTTGCATGTATCAATTTTAACTGAACAATTCATAGATGGATGAGGTTAAGAGTCACAAACTTCTATTTAGCTACACTAAGCAGTAATTATATTCCAGGTAGTCTAGAAGCTCTTATGTTGTTGTCACTTTTGTTTGTTTGCTTTTTTGAAATCAACATGGCCTTACTGTTAAAAGCTCCAGCAGAAATTCAATTTCTACTAATATTGTTCTGACTTGGAATGAGTTAAACATGTCAGTACTCCTACACTGATAGTAACAGCACTGCCACTGGGTTTGTTTCTCCACTGTAACCACATCAGTATAGTTAGAACAGTAAAAGTTTTCCTAAGAGTTGGTTGGGTCTTGTATCTTGTCACCTGTCATGTTTTGTGAAGAAGACAGAAGGCTATCTTTCACCTTCACACAACAGTTGGATTTTCAAAAAGATAACACAAAATCAAACACCTTTGTCCCTTTCTGAAGGAGCCAAGCAGCAGAGTCAGTCTCTGGGACCAATTGCCTGCTAATAAACAAATGCCACAGGATCTCAGAAGGAAGCATTTCCAACTGGGAGTGAATTGATAATTCCTTTTGGTCTAGGACTTCAATCTGGATTTGAACTCCCAAACTACAAACAAACTGCCCTCCCTCATTTGCAGTACCCTATGGTTATCTGGGCCTGGTTGGGCATGACAGTGGGATCTATCCATCTGGCCTGATGCAAAAACCCAAGCCTTCAAAGCAGGGCACTCTTGCAATAAGCAGCTATCCTTTAGCTGCACAGCTCTGCAGAGGAAGGTCAGGGACAGATTCAACCCTGGGTACGTTAACAGCTACAGATGTCCACATTCCCTCTCAATAATGGCCTCAGACTGCTTTCAGCATCTGGAAAGCCTACCTAGAGGAAAGAGAGCTTTAAGTAGGATCACAGACAGAGCTACAGCATATGGGATCCCAAAGGTCAAACACACAGAGGCAATTCATCCATCTGTATGTTGCAGAGCCCAGGAATAGTCTGAAAGAGTCATCTTCAAGAAAGCTCTCTGGGCAGAAGGAAGGAGAGCCCAGACTCACAGGCACTGTGGGCTAGCTGACAGGAGATAGGCTAGTACACAGCACATTCAGTCCTGGTATGCTGGGACCATCCACTTCTTAGATGTTTTCTCCTTGACACTGGCAAAATTAAATATAATGTAAATGAAAACCAATAACTTCCCATTCCCCATTGGGCTGCAGCATCAAAAATAAACAGGTGAAAAAAGAACTGCACTTGTGATGCTGTTTCTAGGTGTCTACCACACATTCTATATCACAGATGGGTCCAAACAATATGGAATAAATAAAATTATAAATGCAGGCAGCTTCATAAACAGCCAGAATCCCATACCTCTCTGTTTACTGAGCTGTAGTTCAGGAAGAAAACAAAAAATCTCTAAAGGTAAGGTTTAATCTGCATGTTTTGCCAAGAAACAACTATACCACATACTCAAAACAGTAATGAAATAATTACAGTGGGGATCGACAGTAGGGGAGACTGACCTTATGGTTTTACACTCAAACAAGTGTAAAATATGACAAGGTGATTATTTTATAGCTCAAAAAGAGCACTCACCACCAGCCAACAGTCTGAGTCTCTGGTAGAGAAAGAGCTGGCTTGGGGATGTGCTTGAGCCTGCGATTTACAAATCTCCTTGTTAATTTACAGCTTTCATTTGCATAATTGATTACATTTAAGCAACGGGGATTTTTTTGTTTGCTCCAAGTTAGCCAGTGTTTGCTCCTGGAGCCGCTTATGCATCCAAGGCAGAACACAAAGTATAATTAATAAATAAATAAATAGCAAGGCAAACACCTATTTTCCAGATTTAGAGGTTGATCTGCACGGGGCAGGGGCATTTTGAGGTTTTAGCATGTGCATCCTGGGATGAAATGTTCAGGATCCCTGACAGAAACCCCAGCAAAGCGTTCCCAAGGCTGCAAACTCATTATTCTTCCTCTTGGTCTGCCTTCTACACCACATCAACTCCCACCTCATAGGCTTCCTGCCCAAATGCAGGGAAGTGGGTTGCTGTAAGAAATATAGCTTCTTTATCTGCTAAGATTTGCTTCTGATAAGTCTGTATTTATGTAATGTAAAGGAAAAAAAAAAAAAAACAGCCAAGAAAACCTGAATGTTCACAGTGTTTCATCGAGAAATTACTGGTTGGTTCCACAAAGCCTGGTCCTCAACCAGCAGCCTCCTGAGCTAAAAACAGGATGCAAAGAAGACACAGCTGTGAGAGGTAGACTGAGTTTTGCAAAATTTAGAGGGTTAAGGGATCAGGTGATACATCAAGGAAAACACAGACCAGCTTTAGGCAACCTAAACATAAAATTCTCCATGTTTTCAAATCTATGGTTCTTATTTTACAATACAAGGCCACTGGATGCTAATTGTTTAAAACCCTTCACCTCAATGCCACTAGAAGCAGAATATTTAGCCTTTTAGTTACGGTGGCATTTTGTAGATTGTCTCAGTTCTGCTGTTGTTGATGAAATGGAAAGAGATGCCTAAACTCTGATCTCCAAATAGAAGACCTTTCTAAATGCATCTTCCAACTCTCCTTGTTAGGAATTAATTGAGAATTGCAAGGCAAGGTCAGAAAGCAGCTTTTTTCAGTCTGCATTAAGAAATGTATTCTGGTGACAGCCATGCCAGGAGGCAAATAAATCAAATGGGGGGAAAAAACCGTAATTGAAACCAAAAACTTGCTCTTTTTGCAGTTCTTACAATATTAGGGGGGCATTCTCTCAACTCCTGAATGCTCAAAGATGGTAAGATCAACCATTATAAGAAAAAAGTATGTTTTATCACAGCATCTGTTTCACCAGAAATACAAAGAATCAATTTTAGCGGGTAAAAATAGATTGAAAAATTGCAAATATTAAAAATAAAAATCAAAGAGCACAACCAGCATTACAAAGATGTATCTAGGATTCATTCAGGGAAGATTAAAGAAAAACTGACTACTGTTTTTGACACATTAGAATCCTAGACATAAACAAAAGCACCTGTTTATGTAAGCACCAAGCCCTTCTTAATCAATTCATCAAGCACTGAATTTAAAGCACACATTTAGCCTACCTGGCGTCTTGTAGTGGTTTCAGAACGATGGTAGGAAGCATAGCCAAAGAATCCATTAGAAATCGCATCATGCAGTCCATAATATTAATCTTAAAGTCAATGCTTTCTCATGCATTTCTACAGAAATCTGCTGTTAAGTAAACGTAATATGCACTTGCTCAAAGATTGCTTGTTAGTGGGGAAGAAAACATGTGCACTCAAAATACATAATTTAAAAAACAGCTCCCATAAAGTCATGTTAAAAGAGATCTGTGATACCCTAACAGGCATAAAGAAATCTTTCTCATACACATCTTAAATTCACACACAATTAAAAAAGAGAAATCTGCTCTTGTGTTCCTACTGGGAAAGTCCCTGCACTGAAATAAAGGTGATTATTTGCAGACCATGGCTGTTCTCCAATACGGGCAAAGTTAACTGGATTTGTTTTAAGTAAATAACTCAATATATCATCCAAACAGCATGTGTCATTGAAGCATCTAAAAGATCACTTCTCTTTGTAATGTAATTTGGGGGGGGGGGGTGTGCTAGTATTTTTTGAATATTTCATTGGACAGCATATCTACACACAGTAGTTTCCCTCGAGAGTTTCCCACTAACAGCTCTGTGTGTGTCTACACACGGCCACGTTCAGCCTCCTGCACTGTCGATATCGCCATGAAAGCTGAGTCTGCAGACTGTAGGCTGCTAGACAAGCCTGATGATAGCAAAACACAGAGGAGATTCCTCAGCACTACTGAGGAGCCGCTGGATAAATGGCACGAGCTTCTATTAGCGGCCAATTACCACCACCCAAACCCCATTAAGGACAGAGATTGCTATCAACTTCTCACGAATTATCCTCCAACACATCCAGGAAAGTGTCAAACCCCACCAACTTTTCCTCTTGCCTGAAATTACTGCCTTGCAGAAAGCTGGGTGCTATTTCCTCTTACAGCTGGGGAGGAAGGCTGGCGAGCTTCCTAGCTTTTCAGGGATCGGGACAGTATAACCCAGAAAACTTGAGACAGCATGTGCTGAGTACAGGACCCACTGCAGCCACCTGCTGCCCCACACCACGAGCACACCCACACATAACGCGGCTCTGCTGGGCTTCATTCCTAGAGACACCCGTGTCCTGGAAAGCAGGTATTCCCTCCTCCTGCACAGCCGAGGGACCTCCCTGCAGCCCTCTCCTCACAAGGCTGATCTCCATGAAGAAGCTGTATGTCTCCTAATGGGGCTGAGGCATCCTGGGGACAGCCATGGAAGAGGGGGGAGGATTCTAACAGCCCAGAAGCTGCATTTCTCCGTCCTACAAAATCCTCTCTCTCCCTGTCTCCTCCCCACTTGGACCACAGGATCATTTGAAAGCACCAAGCAAAAGTCCTAAGAAATTGAGCTATGCAGAAGCATACCCTTCTATCCTCATAAGGCCTTATCAGTCAGATAACTCCAGGATGGGAGGAAGGGAGCACAGTGAGGAAGAGACTAGAAGAGGAAAACTGTTGACAAAAAAAGCTGTATCTAAATATCATATAACAAAACCTAATCCCCACAATGAATCCTTTCCCAAATGTATCAGCAGCCCACTTCTGTCGCTATCACCACAAGGCTGTGAGCCTAAAACAAAAGCATCTTATCAGAGCAGCAATTAGCTGTGGTCACAGCAACAATGATCTTGTCCTCGTTTCTCTAACAAGCTCCCACTGGAGTTGAAACGAGGCAACCTAAGGGAGGGAGTCTCACTCGATATGCTTTTTTTAATTTTTATTTTTAAATCGAGGTTTAAAGCCATTTCACTCATTCAAGTTCAGGGTGCTATTATCATTCATTTCCTTGGATGTAGGACCAGGCTGTTATTGCATAACTGCCAGGAAAAGAAAAGAAGACAAGCAGCAGCAACGCTCACAGCCCGCTTTCCTTTCGCACTCTTCCAAGCAAGTCTGCCAGGAGCTGTATTGACCAGGGCGCTCTATCAGCCTCTCCCCGTTTTCACCCCAGGTCTTATGGTACCCTAAAATATTTAGGGGTCGAATTATTATTTGAATGGGAGAGATTTCTAGCAGAGGTGGACACTGTAGGAGCCGGGAGGGGACCTGCCACTCTGGCTATCTTTGCTCTCCTAGGACCTCAGGAGCGAAAACAACCTCCAATGGCACTTGAAGTTTCCCAACTTATATTCATTAGTGGAAAGGATTCACTGCTTATCGTGGGGTCATGCTAGTTCTCTAGGAGAATAACAGGGATGCTAAGAAATCCACCAGCATCAAAAATTGAGTGTCAAAACCCCAATGAAATCTTCTATTTAAATTGTGTGCATCCCCATGGAGATGAGGTTTTTCCTTTTTCCCGCAGGTGCTCCGATCCGTTCCACTCGCGCTCAGGGAGCCCCAGGCGGCAGCCCCAGCCCCGCAGGATGGGAGCTCCTCCATGGCAGGATGTTTACATAGTAAGTCAAAAGGCACCGAGTTACCATGTGGGAAACTCCGCTCTCTCCCTCCAGTGTCCAAGATAACCACCCTGCTGGGCCAATGCCGAGCAGCACTTGCAATGGCTCTTGGCGCCACTATCCCCCCCAAGCCCCTCGGGAAGCGGGGATGAAGGCGGGCACAGCGGGGCACCGTCCCTTCCCTGAGGTGAGCGGCGGGCAGAGACGCCCCACGCCCGCGGCACGACACCGCCCTGAGCCCAGCCTGAAGGGCACCGCAGCGCCCCGGCCCTGCGCGGGGGGCTTACCTTCCGCACCCCGCC